GGGCATATTACATCAATTTTGTCAGCAGAACCAGCTTTACGGCGTTTTACAGTGACTCTTTCTACAGGCGATAGAAAGTTCGTCAACAAATATACCGCTTTATTGTCCATCCACTTCACATAAGTTATACCATGGAAACTTGTGGTGTAAATATCTCCCCGCTTCATGTTTTTATCAAGGGGTGCAGTTTTAGGTAGATGTTTTCTGTTGATTCTTACAGTTCCACAGGCCTTGGTATTCTGATCAATCAGGGTATATTGCAGCATAGGCGAATTGAAAAAATTGACGATATAAATTTCGCATCCTAGGCCTTCAAGCTTTTTCGTAAGCTGAAGCACGACTGATTCACCTAGCCCATATTCTAACCCGGTAGTTCTTTTTCCGGTATATAAATCGAATTCAAAGAGGTATCCGGTTGTGGCATCACACCTACACCATAATTTGAAGCCCCATTGGACAGGCTTATTTTTTATGTATTGTTTCATTACATTATGCCCTTTGAATTTTATCATATGCTCGTCAATTGATTGTTCCTTGGTATTATTGAGGGCATTTTGAAATGAAGAATTCAAATGTTCCATTACTGGCCGGATTTTATATGCTCTGTCATAATTAGGGCTATTGGTATCTCTTACTTCTGCATTATTACAGAAGTGTAGATTCCTACGAATATCTTCAAATCGAACTCTAGGCATTACATTTGATATAAAAGGCACTCCCATATCTGGTTCTGTAGACCAATAATCTCGCAATGAGGGCAAAATATGGTACCCCATAACTAAATTCATACCCAAAAATGCTCTCATTTCTTCAGTTTCAATAGTGAATTCCCGTCCATTTTGATGAGCATATTTTATTGACTCTGATACAATATTTTGAACTAAAGAATCAAAATTAGTCGTGGAACAGAAAATATCAAAAGGAGTCAATGCCGTTTCAACATCTTGGTAGATTTGCACCTTTCCAAATTCATATTCCAGATTACGAAAAGTATTTGGGACGTAACTTCTTTGGCTCCATTTGAAACTCGGTTGACGGTTGCGATCTGCGTGAGCTTCGGGTTCTACTGTAGAAGTTGAGGGTTGAGGTGACATACTTGTTGATTCCTGAAGATCAGATGTCCCATCTTCAATTTCGACAGCTAAAATTCCTTGGTCGTCATCCTGTGTCAGAATTTTTTGGTCTTCTTCGTCAAGCAGTAAATCGGATTCATCATCACTATTATCACACATCAGAATGTGCTGGATTTTACTTTCCTTGAGTTCGAAAACTCCACGTCCCTTACGAAACATAATCTGCAACAATATCAACAAAAAAATATTGTTATTCAACAAAACCAATCAATACAAGAAGTCAAATAATCACGATAAATAATAGGTCTTTACGACCATTGGGACGCCAATGTCCCTTTGTGTATGTAATGACTTATAAATGTAAACAATATAAAAAAAAGGTTTGTATATATATAAAATAATAAGTTACTTACCAGACAATTATAATTTTACACTAGTAAACGCTTGAAGACACTTGACACCCTCTAATTTCTTTTACAAAATGTTACTTTTTCGCGCCAAACAAACTGTCAATTTCTAATAACCATAGACAAAAATAGGTGTTTCCTATATAGTGTTGCCAGCTAAGAATATAATAAAGACATGTTCAAAAACCAATTAATTTATTAAATACAAATGTTAGTCTCTTGGATATTTTTTTTTCTTTTTTATTTGTCAGGGACACATATGTCCCCGTGGTATTTTTTTTAGTTTCGCTTGCAATTGCATTGGACTGTACTAACTTAATGTGTGGTATTTCTAACAGATTTTTCATTAGTTGTACAGAAGTTGTTCCCGTTCCTTTCAAGCCAGATTTTACACAGAGGATTGATGCAACCGTTTCATTATCCAGCCTATTGCGTTTATCTGTTTTGATATTTTTTAGATCACTAAATAATCGTTCAATAGCAACATTGGAAAAAGGCAGTGACATAAAATAGTTCACCAAAACTAGGAGTTGAAGGAATTTGCGTCTGCCGTCAACACTATTTTCAAACATTTTTTTCCAATAGCCTACAGTATCTATGGAATCGTTACAATTCGTATTAGCAAGGAGACTTTGATTCCTCATTCCTTGTCCAGCTCTGTTAAATCTATAGTAATGTGCGATCGAATGTATTTTTTCGCGATTTCGTACAATGATGTAGGTTGCAAATCACTGGCATCTTTCGGGTTTAATAATGACGAAACATGGTGCACATCTTCAAATACAAATCGTTTCTTAATTTGTACGATCGAAAATTTGTCAATTATTTGTTTTTTTTTTTATACCTTATGAGGCAAAACACTGTATAACAGTTTACAGTGTTTAGCCTTGTATGAACTCAATACGCCATAACACTGTATCCAAGCATACCGTGTTTTTCTTATATAGATGGAGGGTGTGATTTACATGTGTATTTGTTTAATTTTTAAATAAAACAATTATTTAATATCAAAATAACATTAATGAAAATTTTAATTAACTTCTTATAATTAGATTTTTCAGATAAACTTAACAGGTCTTCTAATATTTTTGGAAAATCACACATAATAACAAGAAACTTCTTTGGGAAGCTTTGAGATCAACTATCTGAGCTTAATCACAAAAGAAAATAAAAATATCCTCTGAAACATAACCCTTTTCATATTTACTTAATAAAAAAAACTTCTCTTCTCTGAGATCCATGTTAGTAAAAAAGGGCTTTTTCATGATTACAAATTCGAATCAATATTTGTATCGAAATCAGGGGCATCTGATTTTTCAAGAACTTCGTAAAAACTTCGGCGAGATGTAGACATGAACTTTGCAAGTATTAGTAATTCTTTTCTTTTTTTATTTCACTCACACCTCTTGGTTTATTTTCTGTTTCTATAGTATTTATAAGATCTTGTCCATTGTTCAATCTTTGACGTAAACTTCCTTCAACCTTTTTCTTTAAAAAATGTATTTCTTTAAAGTCTCCCTCATAATAATCTTTGGCAAAAAGAGAAAGTTTGCCTCTTCGGAACTCAATAATTTTTAAGTTTTGAATATTCCAATCAAGCAACCTTACAATCATTTTTAAATATCAACATGTCATGGTGTTAAATATCAACGTCAACATCCAGGTTTTTTCTAGACTGTTTGATTTTGGTTACAAAATCCTCCAGATCGTAAACTTCACCTGCTGTTTTTAGTTTTTTGGTTATAGCCGCGTGTACAGCATCCGCAGCCATAAATGCGTGACCTGGTTCAAAATATTTTAATTTCAAGCTTTGAATATTAGTTTTATCGTCGTTCACAACTCTGACTAATGCAGAAAAAAGGCAAGACATCTAGTGGCTAAATAATTGGATGACTTCAAACCATAAGTAACTGTATCAAGACAAATACATTTTATAGGATCATCTCACGCCATAAAATATTTTGCAAAGATGTGTAGTAGATAACAATATGTTTCGAAACATTTGCCTAATGTCAGTAGTGAATGTAATGTCACCAAATCTGAATAAAAGTAATATATCAAACAATTCTTTTTGAACTGTAGGACCGTTTAAAAGCAAGTCATTAAGGGAAACTTTCTTACTAGTATGCATTGAAGCATCGAAAACTACACGAAGCTTGGTAGTTTTACTGTCAGGCTTAATAATAGCGCGATGAGGTAAGAAGTAGACTGCTACTTCGTTTAACTGATACTGTTTGATATCTACATAATGACCATGTTTGAAAATTAAGATATCATCTATGAATTTCTTATATTGTGAAAAAGATTGGATCATTTTGATTTTTCTTTTCTAAATTTAAAAATCTTTTGAATCTCCTAAGCAGTGTTGCCAACCCCAGCATAGAGCAAAACTGCAGATATGCTTGAAAAAAACTGTAAATATCAAATTAAAAAACAGTAAATCTACATCTTTATCTTTTTATTATTTTATATTATTTAATGATAGTAGTAATAAATAGAATACATTATAGCGAAGGAATTAAAAACAATAAAAATCATGTAATTGTCAAAGTTTTAATCGAATTAAATTCCAAAATTCTCAAACATTTAAGTCAAATAAAATTAGTAATATTTAAAAACTAGTATGAAAATGCTAATCCAACACTTCAGAAAATGCGACTAGCGATTTTTTAGGAAGCGTTCCTTGAAAATCATAGCTTTCAGTAGTAGATAATGTCACTAGCTAGCTACTATCTCATTTTCAATTTGTAAATCTTCTTGATTTTCCGTTTCATCTTTATTTTTGTTGTAATCATACATATTTTTATTGAATTTTTTGAAATGTTCATTTGTCACATTGAACTCAAAACAATTTTTTATTTCTGACTTTGTGTGCAAGGTACCTTTTATTGTGGTTGTAGAAAGTTTATTTCTTAGTTTCGTTTTCATAACATTGATGCTCGAAAACAAATGTTCTACCGTAGCAGTACTGTGCGGCACACATGGAAGCTTTTTGGTTAAAGTCGATAATATATATATTTTTTTTATGGGATAGGGGGCAGACGAGTAGACGGATCACCTGATGGTAAGTGATTACCGTCGCCCATGGACACCTGCAACACCAGAGGGGCTACAAGCGCGCTGCCTGCCTTGGAGGGAAGGGTTGAGGGCTAGAGGGAAGATTTAAATTGGTCTTGCGAAGAGTTCTCCATTCTCTATCTAATTCTGTTATATTTTCTGGACAAATACTTGGGAAATAATATAATAATTCTGAAATTGAAGTTATATGTTTTTTGCTCAAATCATGACCTAAAATCGCTTGTGGGTTCAACATCTGTAAACATTTTAGTGCCTGACGTTCTTTATCAGCGAAAGGAAACCTTCGTTTGCTTCAATATAAAACTCTTTACATTTCCTGTAAAAATTTGTCAATTTATCGTCGTCCAACTCTTGAGTGTCTCTTTTTAATCGAATTAAATTTGGTACCATTCCTCCAACATATGTTTCTAATAACGGTAAATGGATCCGCACGTCATTTACATCAACACTTAATATTTTTTGTTCTTTGGCATTTAAGATATCTTTGGCTTTGTTTATCTCTTCTTCTGTTAGTTCTATCTAAATAAACCGGTTGTATAAAGCATTCTAAAATTGTCACATATGCTGTGTAGATCTGGTCATATAATAAGTGCAACTTTGGTTTTTCTGCCTGCATTTCTTTATTCAAATCTGTGAATATTGGTAAAGCAAATCGTAGGAACTCTAAGTATAATTCAGTTGTCGGTTCCATGGCTTTTGTTAAAATACTTTGGCCAGAAAGAAGACGATCTGTAAGCACTGCTGATTGGAAATATAATTTTATAGCTGGAAGTTGTTCCAACAATCTATTCACGACATCGTTCAACGATAGCCATCTGGTTTGTGCAGGGTGCGATAATATATATAAGCAATAATTTTCACATGCGTGAGATGCGCAAAGCGCAAATGAATGACATATACATTTCATGGTGAAAAGATTAGGTATGTCATTCTTCAAATGAGTGATCATTGAGTTATTTCCCCCGAACATGACATTGGCGCTATCAGAAGCAAATCCTAACAAATTCTTTTTGTATGGAATTTCTTTCTCATTAAAATATTCGACAGTTTTTTGGTACAAAACTTTAGCTGACCCGTTGGTGATCGGTATCACAGTTAGAAATTTATCTCCTACTTCATAATTTGTGTTAACTAGCCTCGCTATTAAAGCTAAATGCTTGATTGCCGACTTATCAGTACTCTCATCTACCAGCAATGCAAACTCCTTTTCCCTTAAATTTTTTATCAAGTTTTCTTCAGCGGTTTTTCCTATCACATTTACTACAATAGCTCTTGCTTTTGTTCGGCTCATAGACAAATATTCAGCAGTTTTGGAATCTGGACACACCGATTTTATTAAATTAGTCAGATGTGAGGCAACATTAAATGCAAGGTTGTGTTCCGCAATAAAACATGCTAGTTTAATTTCGCCGGCTTTTGCCATTTGCTGCGGTTCCTGTGATTTTGATGTTGATGCGAACAAAGATGTAAGCTTAGGTTGCTTTTGTATTTTTTTACAGTTTGCTTGGTGCTTTGATGAATTTTTGTGTCGCGTCAATTCTTGAATTCCGCATTTACGATCACAGTCGCATGCAGAGCAGTAAAAATACGTATTATCTTTTTTAAACTTTTCGTCGTTGAGCCAAGAGTTAATAAATTTTTGCTCGTATCTCACCACTTTCTTCTTTCTTGGTGGGGATTTATCAACATCTGACTCACTATCACTACTGCAAGTATGCATATTCGTAACTTTTTACTAAACTCACAACGTCAATCGAACAAAAAGAATTTAATCAGATGAATGACGGAATGGACGGTCACGTACATATGAGGCCACCAGAACCAGAGCGGCCCAAACCACAATTTTCGATATTTTAGTTGACCACGGCAATGCGTCTTTTTAAACCCCTAAATTCGTAGCCAGAGTGGCTCAAATGTCATTTCAGTATAAAATCGTAGATGGCGTTAAACAAATTTGTTTTGGCGTTTTGATACTTAGTGCAATAGTAATAGAGCATTGTGGCCCAGAATACTTGGGTCACTATAGAATTTTCCGCCATTACGGCTCATGTGACTTGGGCCACTCTGGTCTTGGATACTGTCGTGTAAACATTTTTGTTTGTGCGGTTACAATACCGGTGTTTTTACGCAATAAGTGTGTTAATATAAGTTATTATTCTACGTAAACCTGCGGGAAAGTGTTGGCGGTACAGCAATAAGCTTAAGAGGTAAGAATACATGTTATTAGTCAGATATTTAAATTTTTGTCTATAAATTAACTTAAATTTTATACTTTCGTTTCGGACAGATCTAGCAGGAATTACAATGAGTTTAACTGAGGATAAAGCTACTGAAGTCATTGAAGATGACATACGAGGTAACTCTTAGTTTAAAATGTTGAGTTTGTAAGGTTATTTTTTTTTCAGTATTTTTATTGTCAAATTTTGTGTGAGACAGATCCAGCAGAAGCTACAATGAGTGCAACTGCGAATACGGCTACTGACTACATTGCACAAGAATTATTACGAGGTAAGCTTACTTTTAGAGGTCCGTAGTAAAATAATTTATCTTTATCGCGTATTAATCTATTGAGAAAGGAGTTCTTGTATAGATGTTATTTAATAAGGTATAAAAAGAAGTTTTAATGATTTCTTAGGGTAGGTTTTGCTATTAATTTACATTTATTTTGTAGACATATTTGGATCGAGTCCAGTGGAGCCCTATGAAGATTCGGGTTCTGAGTACGTTCCGGAACAAGGTAGCAGGAGCTCATCAAGGAGTTTACGAGACATTCTTGGGGACTCGTCTGGGTCTGAAGGGAATGATGAGGGTCATTCATCTGTTTCTACAAGCAAAGATGCAAGAAAGCGTATACGCAAATAAAATTTATGGAAAAAGAATGTGAGAAAAAATAAAAGAGCTAGAGGTGAGTCATACGTAAATACTAAAGGCGTTCTCATTCCCGCTAAACAAATAGATACAGGTCTTCAATGCACCTGTAATCAAAAATGTCACGAAAAAATTGAACATGACCGACAAAAACAACTTTTTACAAAGTTTTATGATTTAGGAAATTTTGATTTGCAAAGTGCATATCTATATTCACTCATTCATGTCATGGTAAAAGCAAGGTCTTATGTGAGAGTCAGAGACACCTCATTGGAACGCGTAGCTGGAAACACCACATCAAAGCCCAAGGAGTTTTCTCGATTATATCACTTACCAGAGGCGAATGTAAAACATATTCGTGTGTGTAAATCATTTTTTAAACACAGTCAACAACAGTTTTTAAAGTATCGGACGGACGCCTTACAAGGGTTCTGAAAAATAAGCCCCTTGGCGATCCCGCTCCCATTGATAAGAGAGGCAGGCACATCCCGTCGAATAAAACTCCAGACACAAAAGTAAACGAAGTTAAGGATTTCATCAATACTTTCCCGAAATATGATTTTCACTACACAAGACACAAAAGTGAAACAAGACAGTACTTGCCTCCTCACTTGAATTTGTCAATAATGTATTCAGAATACAAAAGTAAGGTTGAAGTACCAGTTTCAAAATTTATTATCGAAAAAATATTTAATGAAAATTTCAACCTTACTTTTCATGCTCCAGTAACTGACTCTTGTAAGCGATGCGACAATTTTAAAGTTAAAATTGACGCTTGCGATACCAACGAGATATCTAAAAAAATGAGCTTACTATCGCCAAAGAGCTTCATTTACGGAAAGCAGAATCTGCAATGACAAATTTAAAACTTGACATACAAAATGCGAAGCAGGATAACGATACTACCATCATAATATTTGACTTAATGAAGACACTCCCAACACCAGTCATTTCAACTGGTATTTGCTACTACAAGCGTCAGTTGTGGACCTACTGTTTAGGCATTCACAATGCTGGTACAGACGAAATGTTTATGTATGTCTGGGATGAATCGACAGCATCCAGGGGACCACAAGAAATAGGTTCATGTCTTCTAAAATTTATTAGAGAACATGTACATACAAAGAGGCTTATCATGTACTCTGACCAGTGTGGCGGGCAAAACCGCAACATAAAAGTAGCAGCGTTATGTATGCACATAGTTTCTAGTCCTCAATTTACAGTGGAAAATATAGATCACAAATTCACGGTCAGCGGGCATTCGTTTTCATCTTTCGGTTTGGTGGAAAAACAAAAGAAGTATTTCCCAAACATATACGTTCCCGAACATTGGAACAATGTGATACTAGCAGCAAGGAAAAAGAAACCTTTCCAAATTGTGGAAATGAAACGAGACGCCTTTATATCCACCAAAGCCTTGGAAACTAATATCACAAACAGGAAGATCGGCGTTGATGTTAGTAAAGTTCAATGGCTTAAAATACAGTGGATTTTGTACAATAAGAGCCATCCATTCTCGATGTTCTTCAAATACTCCAACGAGTCAGATATACTTTTCACGGAGGTCAATTTTAGCAAGAGGTCATCCCAAAATACTTCAAGCTTTGAACTAGAACTTTTATTTCCAGAAGGAAGAAAAATCAGCCATGAAAAAAAAAAAGGATCTTCTATGTCTCTTGGAATATGTTCCACCTATATATCACCCATTCTATCAACAGCTCAAAGTCGCTTCCAATGCGGGGAACGAACTAGATGGTGCAATTAGTGATTCTTCGACTGATTAAACTGACTGACTAATTAATTACTTTGTTATGTTATGCAAAAGATAGTCTTAAGTTTAAGGAAGAACTATTATATATTAATAATGTATGATTTACAGTAAAACAAGAGTTTAATTAAAATTACACAGTGATAAAGAAGCTAGTTCTAAGCCAAATTTGTACTATTTAAGTTGCAAATGGTAATTTATATTTAAATTAATAAAAAACGTGCTATGATTTATACATATTGGCCTATTATTCATACACCATTTATAAACATATTGTCAATGCTAAGGACCATAGTGGCCTATGTGCAAAAAAAATGAATATTTTTATAATTCATCTAAATTTCATCAATAACTAGTATCATATTTTAATAATTTTTAACACAGTGTATGATACTTTAAAAAAAAAAACATTAACTTAAAAATTCACCTCAACTATTTTTGCCCATAACCACATAATTGTTATTTGTGTTTGGGTCACTCTGGTTCTGGTGGCCTCATATTATCTCAAATCTCGATGTTCAAAACATTCACGGGGATTCCCGAGTAAGTAAGCAATAGAATGTCGGTAAAACAGACATCGACCGAAACGATATACGACTGTCCACCACTAACGCCATCCATTAAATTGGTTGACCATTACCTCCGGTTCGATAGTAGTAGGTTTTAGTGAAGCTGATTTAGTGAACGGAATACGTAGCAGCATAGCTAGCATCTTAAATAAAAAACTGTAGATTTCGAGGCCTAAACTAAAAACTGAGAGAATTTGGAAAAAACTGTAGATTTACAGTAAAAACTGTAGGGTTGGCTACAGTGCTCCTAAGGTATTATTCACTTCATCCACTGGAACCTTTATAGGCAACGCTACCTCAAATTTATTATTTTTTAATTGAACAGAGTTAGTAAATATATATTCTACAAGCCCTTGTTCAGAAGACTTTTCATGGTATGTTTCAGGCACATTTTCTATTTGCCAGAATTTTATCAAAGTGTTTTCTAAAGTTGAAGAGTCACATACACAATTAAGTACTACCTTGGTAATAGTTACAAAAGCATGATGGGAAATTTTGCTGGGGCTGGTTACCACCGATGACATATCCTAATTTTGTTGCTATGAAGCTCGGCTGCTTAATGGCTGGTGGCTGCAGCTGAGTAGCCTTCTGCTGCCGCTCTGAGATCAGCGCCTGATGTAGCAGCAGAATCTGAAAGAATATGTCAGCAGCTATCTGCATCTTGTCTCAGTTCTTGACTTGTTTCAGGTTCTTCTGCTTTCATCTTTCTCTTTCCTTTTCCCTTTCCTTTCCCTTTGTTTTTTGTTTTTTCAAATAGTGTCACTTTCTTGCTTACTGCAGCTTCGTTCATTGAATATTTTATTTCCATCTTGTTTAAGTTCTTTTCCTGAATGTAGCTATCCGAATGCTCTTGAATTTTATGTTTTTCGACGTTTCTTTTGTAAAGGTTCTTATCGCTAAGTCGTCTCAGTTGATGAAATCTGTATGTTCCATTACATTGACTTTATTCGGCTTCGGTTTGTACCTTGCAGTCTCTATATAGAACATAATCTAAAGAATAGCTATACAACAAACTCTTCACAGGGGGTGCCGAGCTAATATTTCTGCGTCTCTTACAAACTTTTGCAAAGTTTAAAGCAGTCAACATACATCTCAGTTCCAACCATAAGAACTTTCAGCCTATAGTATTGTGTCCTTTTCGATTAAATCTTTTTCTTCTACTTGAGTTTTTAAGTTTTCCAAATATAGCATGATAGTGAACTAAATTTTGAAATTTTTTGTTTTAAAAAATCTTTGGGAAGTGACATATACATAGCATTAAACTCTGCTATTGTTACTTGTAACAATTCTTCAGTCTCTTTTGCAAAAGCCATAGATAAAGCAATTTCCAAAAGCTCTCTTTTTTTTATATAGTTCCCATGTTTCGTCACCTCTAGGCACAAATTCGTTTACCAATAACCCAAAATATCTCAAAAATGCAAGCATTTCTGATGCTGACATTCGTACATTTCCATTAAGTAAATGTTCCATAGTGAGAGTACAAGGTTGGTTTCTAAAGTCAGGTCCATATAAGCA